AAATTTGTTAAAATATGCGATTTGGATTTCTTCGTTTATGTGGGAGACAGGCTGATCAAGTGGAATTGATTTTTTTTTTTAGTACTAATCATAATTGTAATGGACGAATATTGGAACAGAGAGTTGGGACACAGAACCTAGAAACAGCATATCCAAATCAATCACCACAAGACTTCCTTCGAAAACTTGTTTTTGACTTTTTTTTACTAAAATATGCAATCGCCACATATTGGGCATTTAGGTTTATTTGTGCCATCTTGAGAAGTTTTTTTTTATTAGTAAAAAAAAAATTATTGATAAAAATTAAATGTACATAATATAAAGATAAATATTAATAAAGGGAAGCGAGCATCAAAGCATTAAAGCAAACTAGATAATTCCAACTAAGTTGGGACCGAAAAGCAAGCCAATCAAATACCAGCACTACACCATAGCTGGAGAGAAACCAACTGAACAAAACAAAAAGTAAGGAAATAATAACCTCTCCCAACACTTAAAATACCGATTTTAACAGTCTATCCATCTACACCTCATACCAAACAAAACCCCCCTCCAGTTTGGACCCTCATAACAAACAATCACCTCAAATCAATACCCTATCTCTTGAATTTTGGAAGTACCATTGATGCTTTCAGTAACTTCGTTTTCTTTGCTTTATTCCTATGACTCGCATTGTTGGGATACGAGGCCTTATGAACACCTTCACCCTCATGCCTCTTAGAAGATTCCTCAATCTTGACCGAATTGCTACTCACTATCGGAATAAAAGACTTTTCAACAACGTCAACCCCTTCCACAACTCCTTTTGGCCCAAGAGAGAAAAGTGAACTTGGCTCATAGGATATTTGCACAATCTTATTTTTTCCAATAGGAACTCCAAGATCTACAGCAGTGGATTTGGGCCTCCAAAATAATGAATGAGTACGCCCATATTTATGTTGTGGGCCAAACACACTTTTTAAATTAAGAGGTTTCATTTGCACTAAGTTTTACACAGATCCTCCATAAAAACCATTTCTCTTCACACACTAATTGCTAGTTGATGATGACTCATTTGATTTGTTTGAATTTAAAAAAAGCACTATTTTTTTGTCTCCAAACTCTTTTTTCCCCATTTATAGAGATTTGATCTTTCCCTGCACTAAATTTGAGTGCTACATCTTCATGAAAATCAAAGGTTTCACATATCCTAACAGGGTATATGTTTCCTTTGTACTCCAAACTTATCACCATATTTATAGGCTTCATGCTGTTTGTTATCAATCTGACCTTGCCATATTCAAGAGAATCTGTATTGTTAACTTCAACAAACTAGATTACCTCACCCCATAAGCTACTAATGCTTGTGAATGTGTTAGCATTCCATAAGTTAAATGGAACTCCATAACAACACAGCCAAACACATCTCTCTTGATCGAGATTTACTCATTTTCTCCATTCTGTTATTGAAACACACCAATCATAGATCCACTCCTTCAGTTGGTCATATCCCTCCTTCATAGCTTGTGATGAGTTGAAGGTTAGGACTGCACTTCTATCTCTTCCTCTTTTGACTAATATCTCACCCAAACCTTTCTTGTATAATTAGTCTCTGAATGCTGGAAAAGAGTAGTTTTTGAGATTCACTATCAAACTCATAGAGAGCCATTCATTATATAACTCAAAAGCTTTAGCCACTAAATAATCCTTCCTATCAGTAGCTCCGCTTTTTACTACTTCAGCATAAGATTTCTGACCTCTAACCACTGTTATATCTTGCTTAGACCGCCTTTGTAAATCTATTTTCAAAGGTTTACTTGATTTCGGCTTGTGCTTCTTTAATTAAGGCTTGGTGAACACTGCATTTTTAACTTTTAGCTCCTTATCCTCAACCCACAAACCATTTTCCTTTTGAACAACCAAATTTTTTGCTACCAAGCAATCGAATCTGATGAAGCCAAATCTTGTACCTATTACCACCCTTCTCTTCACTGGGATGAACACATCCTTCACTGCCCTAAATTTGTTGAACATGATGTACAAGCTCTTTGGACCCATTGATTCAAGAATGTTATCCACAAAAATAGTGAACAATCTATCATTTTGGACACAAATATTGCTACCCTCTTTCCTTCTCAGAAATGAGTTCTAACCTCCACTAACTCTACCCTCTCGGAATCTTTTTTCCATCCCATATGACACTACTCTTTCCTCCATCCCATAGCCGAAGTTGCTTTGTATATCTCCCTATTCTTGACTTCTCCATATCATAAAGCAAGAACAAGACCAACCCCAATATTGACACAAACAAGTCCAAACCCAATAGTATAATAAAAGGGATAGCAGAGTTCACAAACAGAGACACTAGACTTCACAAACAAGTCCAAACACATGCAGAGACACAGAAGGTAATATAACCTGAGTTCACAAGGATGATACCTCACCTTGCAAGATCCGTCGCTGAAGATCGAATTTCACATGGCGTGGATTTGACCTGCGGACTCGCTACACAAATCTACATCTATTCTCCTCCTTGTTTGCCACCAGAGAGCAGACCTGATGGAATAGATCCGTGTCTGCCTGCTCTGGATTGAATGAAACCGAGAACGAAGAGAGATAGAGAGAGTTTGTCACCAAATCAAGCTAGAAACAAGTTACTTAAGAAATGGAATAGATTGAAACTCAATCGACAAATCAGATTACATTTGTCAGAGAACAAAGAAAACTTTTAGGAAAAATGGTTAAGCAGGGGTTGGAGTGGAAAGAACCAAATTCTGCCATTTTGGCAAGTTGATTAAGACTTCGTTTGGTAATGACTTTTTTAGTTGGCTTTTTAGCTTTTTAGACTTTTTTAACCTGAGACTTTTTTGTTTATTTGATTTTCTTGTTTGGCCTTTTTGACTTTTTGGCATTGGAAATGATGTTCCCAAAAGTGAAATGACAAAATTTCCCTCAAATGGCCAAATCCAATAATACCTCCAATTATATACAGATTTTGCAATGGAATTACAATTATTTATTTATTTTTCCATTTCCCCCTTTTTCTTTTTTTTACATTTTTTGTAAATTGCTTCATGCAATTTGTTTTTGGTTGGTTGCTGATTTGGAATAGGGAAACTATAAAACAAATCAAACACTCTGTCAACAAAACTTGTACGGAATTAACGAATTTTTTTTGCAAAATTTGTTGCACTTCTAGTATGACATTTCCACCAAACCACTGTTACAAATCCCCCCCCAAAAAAAATATATTCAAATCTGTCAAATACATTAATAAAATAAAATTTTCAAGTCCATAACAAAGGTTTGTACGAACAATTTTCCCCTCAATTAATATATAATAAGAACAATTTGTTGGTAATTACTTCTCCGACAATAACAAATTGCTTGAGTGTACCATAATGGGAACATACATACCTAATTACATAACGTTCATATGCACAATACCATAAATACTAAACGTGGTGCTACAATTCCATACAATGTCAAGCAAACAATAAGAAAAATGAACTTGGGTTCGATGTAACTTACCAAATTCCCCCTATATATTTCCCAACATGCCGTGGTTGCGTATGTGGACCAAACGATCCCTTACGAGAAAGCACACGCTTTTCATATGTGGGTCATCATCCCTAACCATTAGTCTATCTGCCCCCATATGCTGGCAAAGGAATGTCATTGATTATGGTTACCACATCGGCCTCTGTTATTATGGGTTGAACAATGGTTGGATTACTCGTATTTCTACGTATGTAGTTATGCAATGCCGTCAACACACCAATTAAATGCACCTGCGCAATCACAAAATCATAACGAGGCATATTTTCTATAAACCTCTATCAATTTTTCCATGCCCCAAAGATTTGTTCAACAACACTACGCAACGACAAGTGTGCCTTGTTAAATAATTCCCTTGGGTTTGTTGTGTTCCTTGCACCTCGCTAAAAATCTTCTTGGTGGTAACGGTAGCCCTTGTACAGTACGAGGTAACCCTTTCAGTTAGGCTAACCTGAATCAACAAGATAATATTTCCTTGCCGGATGTAAACAAATAACGGTATAAGCTTTGTGTGCATATTTGTACATACTAATTTTTTAAAAATAATTGTTTATACCTTCCTCCAAGTGTGGAAACGACACATTTTCATTGTTGATTATTTTAGCGAAAACTCTATTGTCATGGATATTGCCTTCCCACCCAACTGATACAAAGGTAAAACACATCTCGAAATCAACCACGACCACGATATTTTGGGTGTGACAGCATTTGCATCCAAAATATGTCGCTGCATTAGGCCCCATCACTTTCCCAACAACATGCATGCCATCGATTGCGCCGATGCAATCCCAATTTCCAAATTAAACAGCAAAACAAATTTCAATATATGCCAAAACTTTGATGTAAAGAAACAATATGTTTTGAAAATATGAAAGTTATACCTTGAATGATAGGTATTTCATTTTTGACAGCAAGTGAAGAAGTTAAACATTTTGATTTGTTGTTGGCCTACAATGTACAACCGTGAACTTCTTCATCGTCGCCAAAACATTATGAACGTGGCGTGATACGGTTTCACCCGAATGTTGAAACCGTTCTTGGATGGCTTTATTCTTAAACCCTTTCAACACATGGATGAACATTGCAACGCTTTCCTCCACGGCTGATCCATGGCTGCGTTGGTTAACACATAAACCAAATTCTCTAACTAACGTGTCACATAACAAACAAAGTAATTCTTTTGGCATACAAACATTTTCTTCAAAACGACTAATGTATCCATCGTATAATTCACATATCCATGCACGTCCAGTCAATATTGATGTTCGACATGGAGTTTTTAACGTGTATTTTTTGTAATACTCTTGTACATACCGACATGCTTGAACATACGTCCAATTATTTTATTGTTGTATTTGTATAGCCATTTGATTTATTTGCTCGACGAAGTCATCGTTGCTATTACCTTCCTCGTTAGACATGGCTACGACTTCGACGACGCCTACAAGACATATGTCTAATGTTAAAATCATTACTGTCACTTTGAACTTGTTCAACTATTTAACCAACATAAATATATACATCAACAACATACCATGCATAACCAAGATAAAAGAAAAGTAATCTGCCAAACCAAACATGCATAAACCATCCATTTCATACACACTAAGAAATTATTAAAAAAAAATTAAAAAAAAAAGTGTTCATATTGTTCCACCAAATCATCCTACCAAGTATTACAAATGAAACAAACCAAAAAAAAAAAATAATAATAACCATAAAACAAAAATAAAAACTGAAACACGTCCTTAAAATCCAACACAGTAACAAGTTCCCATAAAAACATCAACACATAACACGGACAAGTTCCCATCAGTAAATAGCAACTACTCAACCCATTGGCCCATCCTAGCAGCCATCAAACCCGTCGTGCACGAAAGAGGTTCGCAAATGGAACTCCAGCACAGCTTTGTAGTTGTTTCTATGTAAGCCATCTGATAATATGGTCATCATCGGGCTGGCACATCATAACCTCGCGGTAATTAGCGTTGTCCATAAGAGACGATGCAAAGTGGAACAACAGTGTACCAACTAGGGCAAGAATGGATTTCAGCTTCTCTATACACTTTGAAATGGTATACAACGACTCATTGCCAGTTAAGTGCCTAGCAGTAACTTGTTCGTTTTGACTTCGGACAACATTGGTTAGTTTGTTCATGTTATCGGCTATAGCAGATGCTCTACTAGTCGACTTCCGCGACTTTCTAGAACTTGCTGTAGACACCTCATTTTTGACTGACCTTAAGACTCAGACGTCACCGATTGGGCGCTCGGTGATGTTGCATATTGTGCTCGTTCAGAGGTCGCCGAGTCTCGGCCGTGCGCCTTGCCTCCGGACTTCCAGACTCTTTTGTGCTTTGCCTCGGTTTGCGAACCAGGTCCCGTTTTCTCCGTCTTCTCTTCCCGAAGGGAGGGAGAGGTCTTGTAGATCATCTCTCAGTGGCCGTAGGCTACGTTTCGTGGTCGTAGACCATTTTTCCCGTTTCGGAGCCCGGTTCCCGGTTTTCGGAACCGTCAGCCGTATGCCTCGGTTCGGGACCGCTTAACCACCTCCGTTTGCTCCGGTTTTTGGTATACACCCCACCACCATCCTTTCCAACACTTGGAGCTGGTTTTATAGAGGCAAGGAGCACCATTTCTCAAGCCAAGAGTTGTTGAAGCATTGGTCTTCAAGGGTAAGTCTTCTATCCCTCTCTTTGGCCCTATTTTGCTCAATATATTAGCTCCTCTTGCTTGCATATTTGGGCTCCGACCCTAACTGAAAATAGCATTATTTTGAGCTCCTTTTCATGTTTTTTTAAGGGCCTCTCCTTGTTTGAGGCTTCCTTTTTATACTTGCTTCTTTACCTCTCTTGTATGCCTCTTTCTTGCATAGTATTTTAGGCTCATTTGTAAATTGTTTCGAGCTTGGTTATAAACTGTAAAGTGGATTATTTTGAGCCATTCTTGAACATTGTTGAAGGGATATTCACTGTTTGAGGCTTCCTTTTGTCACTTGCCTCTTTATCCCTCTTTTGGCCTTATTTTTGCATGTTTTGTTAGCCCCTTGTGCTTGTATTTTTGGGCTCCAACCCGAACTTAAAATAGTCATATTTTGACCCCCTATTCATGTTTGATCAAGGGTCTTTTACTGTTTGAGGCTCCCTTTTTACACTTTGTGTTTAAACCTTCTTTTTGGCCTATTTCATGCATAGTATTTTAAGCTTACTTGTGCACTGTTTTGGGCTCATCCATAAACTGTAAAATACCTTTTTTTGAGCCTCTCTTCAACTTTGTTTAAGGGATCTTCATTTTTTGGGCCAGCAGCTACTACTTGCTTCTTTATCTCTCTTTTGGGGCCATTTTTGCATGTTAACTTAGCCCTATTTGTGTTCACTTTTTGGCCTTGCTTAAAACTGGAAATATGCATGTTTTGGGACTGCCTTAATTCTGTCTTTATGCTTCATATTCAAATAATGCATGCTTTGTATAGCTATAAGTCATTCCATGCGCCTAGTTTCGAGTTTCGGGTCTCATTTCATGCATCGGGTGCCATGTTTCCATGTTTCGGGGCTGTTTTGCATCATATTTTGATACTAAAATTTGCATGTTTGCATATCATGTTTCATACCTTGCCATGCTTTGTTAGAGTGGCATTTGTGCCTTAGGTTCGGTCCTCGGTTTGCGTGCACGCGTGCACGCATCTCGAATGTCTCATTTTCATCTAATGGCCATTGATGTGAGTGCGGCTGAGATCCACTCATGTTGGTGTAAGTCCATCGTGCATTGTGTATGCCATTTCAATTCATAGCATTGCGTATGCTAGGTTGTATGTTAGAGCATCGTGTGTGCCATGTTACATCGTGCATTGTGTATGCCATCTCATAGCATTGTGCATGCTAGGTTGTATATTAGTTGCATTCATGCATGTCATGCATATTGCATTGTGCTTGGGATAGGAGTTAGCCCGAGAACGGAAAACGAGGTACGTTTCGTACTCCGAGA